ACCAGTTAACTATCATAATAAAAAGACTGAAGTTTTCAAGACTTTAATTTTGCTTGACTCTACAATAAATGTTCATAGAACCGGCTGTCAAGAAATTAAGCAGACCTCTTTAAAGTGATAAAGAGCAAGGATGTCATTTTGAAGACCAAGGTGTGCCTAACCCAAGCCATGGTATTTTTAGTCACTTCATATACATGTGAAGTTGGACATTAAATAGAGGAAACGGAGTAAAAAATTGATTAATTTGAATTATGGTGTTGGTGAAGAATATTGAAAGTACTGTAAACTGCCAGATAAACAAGCAAAGCTATCTTCGAAGGAGTCCAGCTAAAATGCTTCGTAGAATTGAGGATGGTGAGACTTTGTCTCATGTACTTTGGACATGTTATTAGGAGACACAGGTCATCACGCCTGCTAAAGTAGAATGGCAGTGACAAAGAAGACATGATGAGATAGATTGACACAGTGGCTGCAACAATGAGCTGAAATGTAACAATTGTAGGGGTGGTGCTAGACTGGGCAGTGTTCTGTTCTGCATAGGGTAGCTATGAATTAAGACTGACTTGATGGCACCAGGTCTGGCAAAGCCAATGAGTGAAGGGTGGCGGAAGGCCAATTTTGACTAGCTATAAAGATCCAGTAAATTGAACTATACCCAGATAATCATATTGGAATATTCAATTGGAAGTTGGAAATATTCAAGCAGAGACTGGAGGGACCATTTAGCTTTCATATCACCTTGAGATGTCTTTCTTGACCATCTTGCCTAAAATAGCTTCCACACCCTATCCACTTTCTTTCTCCCTTACTCTGCCTTATTTTTTCTTTGTTTTTAAGATCTAGAAATTATATAATTACTTATTTGGTATCGGTTACCCTCTGGACCAACTGTTTATTTATTGTCCTTCTTTCCCATTAGAATGTAAACTTCATGTGGGCGGAAACTTTGGCTGTTTTGTTCTTTGCTGTATATCACATGAAATAAAACCAGGCTTGGCATTTAATAGTTGCTCAATAAACATTTATTGAGTGAATGACTATTAGAGAAGGGGATTAACACATCACATTTTACATTTTATAGCACATCCAATTTCTTAAGGGTTCTCTTACATAGCTTGTAAGTACTGTCAGTGGAGGCTTTTTATTTTCCTACTAATGAATTTAACCATCATTTCTTGAGTGTGTTGTTGTGTACCATTAAGTCAGTGTGACACAGTGTCCCTATATGTCAGAGTAGAACTGCCTCATACAATTGCCTAGGCTGAAAGCTCTATAGGAGCAGACCTCCAGCTCTTTTCTCCCACAATGGCCTGTTAAGTTTTAACTGCTGACCTTTGTTTAGTAGCAGATTCTTAGTCATTGTGCCCCTAGGGCTTTTTCTTGGGCCTTAGAATTTATATATCACCTTCATAAGCAGTTTTCAGTCATACACAGTCAATTCCTGTTATTTGCATTAAGCTCTATGAAGGCACTGAAAACAGTTAGCAAGTACTGAATCATTGTTCTTAATGGAAAAAGAGTTAGTAGGTTCATGCAAACTTCTGGTCATATTTTTTTCAGCTGTATTTCTGCTTAAAGACACCTTTTAAACATATATATTGTTGTTTCAGTCACATTGGACTCATGTCCAATAGCAATATAACTCAAACCCGAACAGGGCTTATGTAACATTTTCCATAAGGCACACCATAGACTTGATGCGCTTTGAAACAAAGATAGTACTCATTACTATGCTTGGGAGCCATTTTAAATAGCAAAGTTAACACCTAAAAGCATAAAAACATTTTTTAAAGCCATTAAATCAGTAAATGGACATGTGTTTACAGTATGATGGCTGAAAGGAAGACAGCATCACTTTGTTGACCCTAGCTGGGAACGTGTAATTTAGGCAACTCAGAATTTTGCTGCTCTGTGAATGTCTGCATATAACCACAAAAGCATCACAAGTACTAATTTAGAAATACAAATTTTAGCAAGTAGGTGAATTGTAGGTATGATATCCGTAAGTTCGGGGGATTTGCTGTAAATGAAGTGGCTGGTTTTTTCTCATAGATCCAGATCCCCAGGGACACAGTGGTTAAAGTGCTCAGGTGCCAAACAAAAGGTAGACAGTTTGAAGCCACCAGCCACGACAGCCCTTCTGTGGGAAAAAGATGTGGCAGTCTTCCGTAAAGGTGACAGTAATGAAAACCCAACAGGGTAGTTCTGCTATGCCTTTTTAAATTACTATGAGTCTGAATCGACTTGACAGCAGTGAGTGGAGGCTTCTTCTCATCCATCAGGTCTTAGCTCAGATGTTGACCTCTGTAGAGCATCCATTTGTGTCTATCTAAAATTGCTTCTAGGGCCTATCATACCACCTTATTTTACTTCCTTCAGGTACTTACCACATATTATCTTGTTTGTTTGTTTGCTAACTATGTCTTACCATGCAACAGCTTGTAAATCCCAAGAGGGCCGTCACCTGCTACTATATTCCAACACTGGGATGCTGTCTAGCACCTAGAAGATACTTATTAAATATCTTTTGAATGAATAATTGAGTATATTCTAGATATAACTTTATATTTATATTAGTTATTATTAGTATCAAATTTGACAATATTAGCTATTAGTGCCAAATGTCACAATAATTTCTGACTCCAAATATAGACTCAATGTCCCTGTTTGCATTCCCAAGAACACCTGTACTATTCATTCATTTAAGTTTATCACATTGTAACATTATTTGTACAACCTTTTTTCCTTACTATCTCTAGACTTCAAACTCCATGGACTGAGAAACTACATCTACTGTTCCTCTAACATTTAACATAGTATTTCACACATGGGAGGAATGTAATAAATATTGGTTGAATGGATGAATGTATGAACAATCTTGTGAGACAGATGTTATTTCTGACTTTCAAATGAATAAACTGAGGCTTGGAAGGCAAGAAGTAATAGTTTACCTAAGATAGTTAGTTAGAAACCAGACTGTAACCAACATCTTCTACCTCCCAATCTTCCACGTATGCCAGTAATTACTAGACACTAAGTAACCAGGACTCGATTTAAAAAAGAAAACTATTCAGGAGATTTTTGATGATAAGTAATGTTTAGGAATTAATGACTTATGGCAGTGGTCAGCAAACTACTGTTCAAACGTGAAATTCAGCCTACATCCTGTTTTTGTAAATAAAGTTGTAGCAATTTACATATTACCAATGGCTGTTCACATCTTCCAATAGCAGAATTGAGTAGTTGTGACAGACTCTATGGCCTGTAAACCATAATTTTTTTTCTATTTGACCATGTACAGAAAGCTTATTAAACCCTGGTCTGTGTGTTTGTTGCCTGCCCTTTTTCTTTTGTGGTTATTGTAGTACTCGGATATGTGAACATATGATGTACAGTAATCCGTTGCTTGTAAGTCAAGGAGACTTGATGCCATGGTTACGTGCTTATCTGCTAAACTAAAAGGTCGGTTCAAACTTATCAGCTATTCTGCAGAAGAAAAAGACATGGCAGTCTGTTTCCATAGCGATGTATTGCCTTGGAGCTCTATGAAGCAGTGTGCTGTCCTAGAGGGTTGTTAAGAGTCCGAGTCAACTCAAGGGCAATGAGTTTGGTTTGTTTTCCAGTCACTTCCAACTCATGGTGACTTCAGGTATTACAGAATAGAACTGCCCCATAGAATTTTTTTTACTTTAAGCTTTCTCACTGCCATCAAGTCAAGCCTGACTCATAGCAACCTCCTGTGGGTGTCCGAAACTGTAACTGTTTATGGGAGTAGAAAGCCCAGTATTTCTCCCCTGGAGCTGCTGTTGGTTTTGAACTCTGAACCACGCAAATTGCACTCCAATGTATAACCACTACGGCACCATTGCTTTGATGAAATAAATCATCAGGATTTTCTAATGCAGTGCATTCTAACTGCTATGCTTTACGTAAAGTTAGTAGTAGTACACAAACCATTTGCTTCACCCAGGGGCCTGGCATGTAGTAGGTGCTAAAATAGTCTTTAGTCAATTATCTTATTTTGCAATTTACCCAAGAATAAGAACTAAACTGTAAATAATCCAAGCAAAGATCAGTAAGCCAGTCAAAGTGGCTACATGGCTTTTCAATTAGATACTGATAAGCTATTCCCTGATTGTAGGAGGTGTGGGGTTTCTAATCTGAGGTTACAGTACAGGAATTGATTACTATTAGTTGAATTATGTGATAGACAACTATAATTAATGTGTAATTATTTTGGTACTTGGTTTAGAAGCTGCTCTAACTTTAAAAGCCAAAGTCTCTTGGGTGCTTTTGGTCAAAATTCAAACTAATACAAGCAATTACCCAGGACCAACCAAACCTCTGGACCTGCATTGCCTAATATAATATTTTCTTGTAGCCATTTAAATTAATTAAAATTAAATTAAGTTAAAATTTACTCATGTTGGCCATATTTCAAGTGTTCCCTAGTTACAATGGGTAGTGGTTACTATTGAACAGTAAAGATATAGAACATTTCTATTATTGCAGAAATTTTTATTGGAAATACTGCTTTACATGCTACAGTTTAAGAATTACACAGTAATTCTATTCTATTTATTAAAATTATTCTATTTAAATTTTCTATTTAGTAAAAATATGGAATAAAAATTTGTAATGTTTTCATTTTCTAATAGTAGACAATAATACAATGTATTTAGTCCTTGCTTTAGAGTTCTCTCAACTGGCAACAGACTCTTTATTAAATTCTGATAAGCTCTCTAATCCTCGACTCCAAGAAATATCCATCTCATTTACCCCATAGACTGTCTAGTCAAGATGATTAATCATTGGCCAGTTCATCAAATAGTTCAAAATAACCCTGTGATTTCTGGCCAAATCTATTTGGCCTAGTTAACAATGGTGGGAAAGGGTCTGATTCTAAAACAGAGGCTATAAAAGCAATAGAGTGTAAAGTGTTGGCATTGTCTCTGGAGTAATTTAGATTTCATCATTCAGTTACTCATTTTTATTCCCAGCATCTAGTGCTTTTTGCATGGCCCAAAAGGGGCCCTGTGCTGCTCCACTACAGAGGAAACTTCAAGAAATGCTGGTTTGCTACAATGTTTTAGCTTGTGACAGTTCTGGGACCTTCCCTGCTCCCTCATGGGGTCACCTCTAGGTGGGTATTTGAGGACATTGTTAATATGAATTTGATAATTTTGGGGGGGGCCAATTGGATATATATTTAATCACCTGGCTCTTAAAATATATCCTCTGGCCCTAACATTGTGTCACTTTAAAGATTGCTTCTCTAACACAGTATGCCTCAAATGTTCAGAGGCTCTGTACCATTTCAAGAGCTGAAAAGACTTTGGAATTCTCAATATGTTCTCACTTCCTAGGTCAGAAAAATTTCCCATGTCTTACTTTTCTAGAAACTATCAGATCCTTGTCATTTTGAACCTCAGAGCAATATCAGGTGTGGAGGGTGGGAGGTGGGTGGGTAAAAGAATCTGTTTTGAGAGTGAGGATTCAAGTATAATCTCACTCATTCTGGCTTCTCCTTCCTTTATGTCATTCTACCCCATATCTCTAGCTAATCTCACTTTTATTTTCCCGAGCTGAGACAGTGATGTCTGACTACATTGGGTAGTAGAACCTGTCATTTGACAGAAATAGAGACGTCTCTCCTGGTGTCAGATTATTCAGAGGGAATTCCTTATCTACCTTTTATCTCATCTCTTCTATTTTCCACCAGATACCTGGGCATTTCTTCAAGATATTGGTATATCTTGCTCTGGCACTTAGGATTGGATTACCTAGATCCCACCCCTTCTGGCAAATATATTTCATTCTCTTAATACTCCTTTGATCTCAAACAGGAAAAAATGAGATTTCCCATACTCCATACCAGTCTGCAATGGCTAACGTTTAGTGTAGATTACTTACTTCCTGAAAACATTCTTTTTTAGGAAGTTGACCATGATAGAGATTTCTATTTCCTTTTCAGGTCATTTTACCTGGGACAAATACCTAAAAGAAACATGTTCAGTCCCAGCGCCTGTCCATTGCTTCAAGCAGGTAATTGATTCTTAACATCTCTAGTAGATGGGAGGCAAATAGCTTTTTTGTTTGTTTGTCTGTTTGTTTTCCTGGACCTTAGACAAGTAAAACACGAGGGAGGAGCCACTGGGCTTCTCCAGTGGAGTGACTCAGAATAAATAAACTTCTATGGGAAGAGCGCAACTCAAGTTGTAATGTTTGATCAGGATGAGTTTTGGCAGCTGATGTTCTAGACAGCTTCATCCCAGGCAACCAACTTTCCTTCTTATCTCCTGGTGGACATTGTGTATAACTGAAAACAACTATTCTCTTCTACTATAGCTCTTAATCCATACTAGTAGGAAAGGGAGTAATGGTTCTTAGGCCACTCTGGGAAATGGAACAGTAACAATCTCTCTTTATTTAGCACCCCTGCCACAATCTTATCTTTATGAACACATACTGGCATTGAGCTCTACTGGTGAGCATTTTAAGACCTCATCAGAAGTCATCCATAGCTTTTCAGTAGGCCCCAGTGCCACCGAAAATGTACAGATGTTACTAGCCATATCAGTAAATGATAAGGCTGGTGAGCAGAGAAGTGTATTGTTTGCTAAACAAAGCTACATCCAAGCAAGTTATCTCCCTTCCTTTACTACACAATTATCATTTTCACAAGCTGTCAACTTTTTACTTTGAGCTTTGTCTGTTTTCAAAATAAGCATAAAAATTGTGAACTTCTGTGCATTGAAATAATAGAGACCAAATTTATATGCCCACCTGAAATAATGTATAGATGAAGACAAAATATTTTTTAGCTACATTTTTCAAGTCACTGAAGACCAAGCATCCAAGCTGAGCGATCTCTGAGAGATGGGAAAAAACGAAGGGAAGCCCTACATTATCCCAGCCAATTTCCTTGTGAAAGTTTCCATGCAAGGAAAGGAATTTCAGAGAAGGGAAACACTTGTGGAGCTGAGTAGACTCTAATTTCAGAAAATGAAGTTGAATGTTGGGAGTCCAGGGAAACCAAGGCAGCTGGAATTTACAGAACAGAGTACCAGAGAGAGCCCCACCCCACCTCCCACCACCCCCATGGAGTTCTAAAGAGGGTAGAAAATCCTCCACTTCAGGTATTCATTAGAATGCATGATGCATATGAGCAAACCATTCACAGCCAAGGGAGAAACTATCTGATTTTAGGGACTTAAGCTTGATGTTCACACAGGGGTGGGAATAGTAACTTTCCCCACCACTATGTCTGGAAAATCTCACAATTCACAGGGTACAGTAGAATACATGGAAACATTTTACTGAGTAGGGGAGAGTAATCAGTCTTAAAGTGAGCCAGGCTCCATACCAACCTAACAAATAATAAAAGCAAGATTAAAAATAACCCTACTGATTACAAGTAACTGCAGCTAAGAAGAAAGGACAAGAAGATGTATAGGATACAGAAATATCCAACACCCAACATGGTAAAATTTATAATTTGGATATTCAGTCAAAAATAACCTGGCATATAAAGAGGCAGGAAAAGAACCAATAATAAGTTTATAATAAGAATTGAATAAGTTTAATAAAACCAACTCAATAAGAAACATACTCAGATCTTAGAATTATCAGGCAAGAATATTAAAACAGTTACTTTCATCATATTCCACTAAGTTTACAAGTTAAGTAGAGGTATGGCTGATAGAAAAAATAACCACATTAAACTACTCTGTGAAATGAAAAATGCATCGATGAGACTACTGGTAGAAGAAAATATTAGTAAGCATGAAGGCAGAGCAATAGAAACTATTGGTAAAGGACACACAAAAAGAAAAGGGATTTTTCTCTATGGGATCACTTTAAGTAGTGTAATAGACGAAACTGGAATCCCCAAAGGAGAAGAGCAGTGAGGAATAGGGAAAATTATTTGAAGAAATAATGGCTGAAGTTTTTCCAAAATTCAGGAAAACTAAAGCCACAAATCCAAGTAGTTCATTGAATCCCCCTAAAAAATGAAAAAGAGTAAATCCACATTATGGCATATAAACTTTAATTGTTCAGAACCACTGATAATCTTAAAAGCAGTCAAAGGGGAAAAGACACTTTACACAAAGGGTAAGAATGATCAGAATAACATCACATGCCCTTTAATTGGAAACTGCAAGCAATAAAGTAAACAAACAATATTCTTAAAGTACCCAAAGAGAACAGAACTGTCAACTTAGAAACCGAAATCTCTCAACAAGGTGAAATATAGATGTTTTAGACATACAAAAGCTGAAAGGTTTTAATACCAGCAGAATCAAATTACAAGAAATATTAAAGCAAGTTTTTCAAGCAGAAGGAAAATGATACCAGATGGGATTTTGGATCTATAGAAAGAAATAAAGGACATAAAACCAGAAATTATAAGTAAATAAATAAGTTGCCTTTCTTTTTATTTAAATTTCTATGAAAAATAATTCTGTAAACAACAACAGTTATAATAAGTTGTGTAGTTGATAACTTGTATAAGTAAAATGTAGGGTAACAACACAAAAACCAGAATGGGAGTTTACTACTTATACACTTTACAATTTTTAGTATAACAAATATACTGTTTACTATTTAAGTATATAGTGTTGTAACATTGTTATATTGTACTTTAAGCAGAAGAATATTACTTGACAATAGACTGGTACGTTAAGATGTTTACTATAAGCCCTAAAGCAATTACTAAAATAATAACAGGTAATAGCTAATAAATCAACCAATCATAAGTTAAAGAAAGAAAAAAGATTTCAAATCAATTACTTCAGCTTCCACCTAAAGAAACTAGGGTGAAAGAAGAAGTTAAATGCAAGGTAATCAGAAGAAAGGTGTTAATAAAGATGAGAACAGAAATCAACTAAATAATAAATAAAAAATTATAGAGAAAATTACTGGAACCAAGAGTTGGTTCTTTGTAAAGACCAAGGAAATTGGTAAACCCTAGCCAGTCTGATCAGGGATCAATGAGCGAAGAGAAATGTCAGGATGAAAGAGCTAACCACTTCAGATGATGTATATATATTAAAAGGATAATAAGGGGATGTTACAGACAAATATATGCCTTTAAATTTCACACCTTAAATGAACTGATAATGTCTATGAGTGACATAAATTACTAAACCTCACTCAAAGATATATAATCTGAATCGATCTGCATCATACTATTTCTATTTAAAAAATTAAATTTGTAATTGAAAACTTTCCCGCAAAAAATTCCAGGCCCAGATGACATCATCGGTGAATTGTTCCAAACATTAAAGGAAAGTTGATATAAATTCTCCACAGATTCTTTCATGAAATATAAGAGGAGGAAGTCCGAACTCATTCTATGAAGTAAATATTCTGATAACAAAACATGACAAAGATACTGAAAGAAAAGAAAACTTAATACCCCATGTGAAAATACATTTAAAAATTCTAAACGAGATTGTAGGAAATCACATCCAGCACTATATAAAATATTAATTTATCATGCCCAAGTAGGTCTAATTCTAGGAATGTAGGAGTGGTTACGCATCGGATTCCAATATGCAAGGTCAGCCAATCGAAACAAAGAACGCTCCCAAGAAGAAGGATGGGCTTTCTACTCCCATAAAAAGTTAGTCTCAGAAACCCACAAAGGGTAGTTCTACCCTGTCCAATAGGAGTCGCTAGGAACAACTTGATAACTGTGGAGTGTTGGTGAAACATTCAAAAATTAATCCTTATAATTTACCACATTGTATTAATCTGGGTACTTTAGAGAAACAAATCCACAGAAACTCATGCATAAGAGAGAGTGTTATATAAAGGTTAAGTGTGCATCAAGAAAACATCCCAACCCAGTGCTGCCCAAGCCCATGAGTCCAACATTAACCCATATGTCCAACACCAATCCACAAAGTCCTTCTCCACCTCGCAAAACAGACACAACAATGCCGACTGCAGGAGAAAAGCCGAGTCAGTGAATGTGTAAGCATCTCAGCACTGGCAGGGGTCTCCATATGGGTGCTCCAGCAGCCAGGGCTGCATCGGGGTAGGTCCATGTGGCTTCTCCTTGGGGATGTCTTGCAGGAAGTCAGCCTTGCAAGTCAAAGCAGGGAACTGGCTAAGGCAGCTGCACCCTGGTCTGACCATCACAAAGCAAGAGACCGGAGAAACTCAAAAGACGAGGCTCACCACCCATTTATCCCTCCGCCCTTCAATAAACATGTGTTTATCGGCCAGGTTGGCACAATAAACTAACGAACTCACACATGAATATACTGAAGGGGGAAAAGAAAGATGATCTCAGTCGGTGCAGAGAAAAGCATTTGACAAAATCTAACATTCGTATCTCATAAAAACTCTAAGCAAACTAGAAATAGAAGGGAACTTTATAAATTTGATAAAGGGCATCTATGAAAAATCAATTGTGTAAAACTGTTTTCCCTTAAAGATCAGAACCAAGATAGGGATGATGACTCCTGTTACTTCTATTCAACATTATAACACCCAGTTATTTTAAATCAGTACAAGAAATAATCCAGATTGAAAGATTAGAACAAACATTTCACCAAAGAAAATATATGGATAACAAATAAGTACATGAATGAATACTTAACATTGCTAGAAACATATAAGCATTTGTTTAAATGGCTCAGAATAAAAGGACCTCCACACCCAATGCGGGTGTAAAGGCCAGAATATAAGGGAAATAGAACTTTCAAGCACTACTGGTAGAAAGGGCAGAAAGGTAGTGTTTTTTACTGTGAAAAATAACTTAATAAGAAAACTTCCCACCCAATAAACTAGGAATTGAGTGATAACCTTGGGAAACTATTTATACCATAGTACTAAAGTCAATATTTTACACGATGGTTAAAAATAGCCAGTTAGAAAATATATTGAAAACAAAACTCTTTGTATGTTCAATAGCAAATATTTGTATATTTAGAAATAAACTAAAAATTATAAAAGAAATTTATAAAAGAGTTGGCTCAAAACAGGATCCTTTTGTAGAAAGTTGCTATCATGGACTTTGTCATAATTAAGAACTTTTCTGCTCTTCTGAAGACTGGTAAGAGATTGAAAATGTAAGCCACAGATTTGAAGGAGAATAGTTGCAGAGCACAAATATCTGATGGCAATATGTCCTAAATTGATCTTTAGGTCCAATACACTCTATTAAACCTCAACTGCCTTTTTTGTAGAAATTATAAATTTCATCCTAAAATTTATTTTTCTAATGTAAGGGACCATGACTAGGCAAAAACAATCTTGAACAAAATCAGAAATCTCACATTTCCCAATTTTAAAACTTATTATACAAAGCGACTACTACAAAGGCATTGTGTTACTAGCATAGAGCTTATCATAGATCAATAGGATGGATTTTAGAGTTCAGAAATAAACCCATGTATAGTCATTTATTTTTAACAAGAATACTGACAATTCAGAGGAATTTCCAATAACTGGTATAGAGACAATTGGACACCCACCTGCAAAAAAAACAAAACTGAAGAAGGATCGTGCACTCACACCTTGTACCAAAATTAACTTCCAGTGGATCTAAATATAAGAACTAAAACTATAACATTCTTAGAAGAAAGCATATGAGTAAATCTTTGTGACCTTAGATTAGGCATTATGTATTAGATAAAATCCTAAAAGCATAAAGGATAAAAGAAAAAAACAGAAATTGGACTTCATCAAAATCAGAAACTTCAGTGCATCAAAAGACACTATCAAGAAAGTACTAAAGCAGCCTGTACAGTGGGGGGAAATATTTGTAAATCCTATACCTAGAATATATAAAGAACTCTTAGAACTCAACAGTAAAAGGACACCTGAATTTTTAAATGAGCAAAATATTTTAATAAAAATGTTTCTAAAGATATATAAATGACTAAAAATGCATAAAAGATTATTAGCATCATTAGTCACTAAGGAAATGCAAATCAATATCACAATGAGACACAATGATATACACTTCAGTATTGTTAACTGCTATGGAATGAACCCCTGATTCATAATAACTCTATTCTAGGTCTTGTGCCAGTCTTATGGTCAGTGGTTTATGGCAATCACTAGATTGAATAAGATTGGAAAGACTTAATAATAACAAGTGTTGGTGAGGATGTAGAGAAATTAGAACTCATCTACCCACTTACATTGCTGAAGAGATTGTAAATTGTTGTAGCCACTTTTGAAAACAGTTTGGAAGTTACTCAAAATATTAAGCATAGAGTTGGCTCATGATCCACCTGTCCCATTCCTCAATACATACATACTTAAGGGAAATGAAAACATAAATCCACACAAAAATTCATACATATATGTTCAAAGCATAAATTCATAATTGCAAGAAAGTTATAACAACCCAAAGGCTCATCAACTGATTAATAAACAAAATGGTATATATTCATACAATGGAATATTACTTGGTAATAAAAAGAATGAAATATTGATATATACTTGGATAGATTGAAAATACGTTAAGATAAAAAATTAATTCACATTATTCTCATATTGTATGTTTCTGTTTATATGAAGTGTTCAGATTAGGCAAATATGTAGAGATAGAAAATAAGATTGGTAGTTGCCAATGGCTGGTCTGAGTGATATGTGGAGAGTGACTGCTAATGGCTATGGAATGTCTTTTGGGGGCTAATAAAAAATGTGAAATTACATAATGGTGACAGTTTGTACATTTTAAAAAATATACCAGTGCTCACTGAATGGTACACCTTAAAAGGATAAATTTTATGGCATGTGCATTAGAAATACTTACCAGATGATCGAGTCATTCCACATCTTGGGATTTATCGAAGAGGAAAAGAAAGCATATTTCTCCTTGAGATTTATATGCATGAATATTCATATCAGCTTTATTTTTCATACAAAAAAACTGGAAACCAGATGTCACTCAGCATGGTATACTAGTCAGCAATAAAAAGGAATGGACTTTTAAAAATATTCAATGGCATGAATGAGTATCCAAATAATTATGCTGAGTGAAAAAAAAAATCTCCAAACATGAGCACATAATGTAGATTCTATCTTAAGACTAGAGAATGCAAACCAATGAACAGTGACAAAGTAGATATAGTCGTTGCCCATGGACAAAGGTCTGGAAAGGATGTCAAAAGGGCATGAAAAAACTTGGGAGTGATGTCTATATTCATTATCTTTATTATAGTGATGGTTTAATAGCGTATACAATATCATGGGTGTATATGTATGTCAAAATTTAAGTATAAAGTTTGTTGTATGTCTGTTATAGCTTAAAGATGTTAAACATATGATTTATAAATTATCCTCAAAATAAGAAAAAAATCAACCACACAATTGTATGTTTGGTGGATATGTAGACTAGTGTACTGAAATGCTCTTTAAATGCTTGCTCATTTGAAAGGATATAGTGATTCTGAAAAGACAAAGTTAGAAATGCATGCAGGGATATAGGATTAGAAAAAAAAGATAAGCTGAGAAACCATCTAAGTAACAATCATTTGGGGTACTGTTGTCCTTTTTAAAAATCTCTTTACTGATAAGAGTCAAATGTAATACTTCATTGTTTTGTCCACACACACCCCTTCCTGTTGCCATCCAGAGTTTCGTTTGCATGAAACCCTTCCTAAGTTTAATATCAGAGGATAGTTCATGGTGGTTTCCCTGGTCTAACTATAACCAACTTTAGGCCAGAATTTCCAGGTTCCATCTCTTTAACATCCTTACTGAAAACGTGGTTTACTCCCAATCTACCTAATCTTTGTGGCTGTTCTCCTCAGTCCTATACTCCTCCAAGCAATGAATTCAAGATCAGCATGAAATTGGAAGCACAGGACCCTAGAAACACTACATCCACCTGTATTGCCACAGTAGTTGGACTAACGGGTGCCCGACTGCGCCTACGCCTTGATGGAAGTGACAACAAAAATGACTTCTGGCGACTAGTTGACTCAGCTGAAATCCAACCTATTGGGAACTGTGAGAAGAATGGGGGTATGCTGCAGCCCCCTCTGGGTGAGTAACTGCACACAGGCTCTCCCTAGTTAACTAGTTAGCATCCCAAAACTGTGCGTGCTATTATGAGAGAGCAAAGCACCCTCTACCTATCCCTTCTTCTTCATATAATCCAACAAAAGGCCCACCTGAACTGTCTTAATGAAATGAACTATAAAACCTAGCCATCTCCGTTTTTTTCATTAGTTTATGACATCAAACTTTATACAAATGCTTCCCTTTCCTGACAAGAAACCACCTCCTTCGTCTTTGCCAGTTATCTTTTCCCCATAGAGAAAAAATGACAGGAGACCTTGCCATTTAACCCACCACAAAACAAAACAAATCAAATCAGATCAATAAAGTTTACCTTAAATCCTACAATAATGACAAGGGGTAAGAGAAAAATCTCAGTAGAAAGGAAGGGTTGTTAAAAATGTTCCTTATCTATTTTCTTCCAAATTCCCACTTGGCTATGGTAAACTAAGAACTCCATTAGATATCTTTCCTCAACACAAGACTTTCTTCTGCTTCATTATGGCTATCAATCATTGCTACAGTGAGTCCCAATGGGGTATAGAGGAAAATCATTTACTGTGTTTGGGCTGTGTTCCCCTCAGGAAACTGCTGAATTAATGAGAGGTAGAGGGCATATATTATTTGAAAGAACCTTTTCCTGAGTTGATTGCTTAACAATTATCCCTATTAAAAAATCATTATATTGCAAAATTCCAAACATAATATAAAAGTAGAGAGACTAGAATAGTAAATATAAATGTGTTCATCATCCTTGATAATTATAGTTACACTGGTTTTTTTTTTAATCAATTTATTGGGGCTCATACAATTCATCACAATACATAGATCAATTGTATAAAACACATCTATACATTTGTTGCCCTCATTATTCCCAAAATTCGCTTGCCTCTTGGGTTCCCAGAATCAGCTCATTTTCCTTTTTTCCTCCTCCCCTCTCCCCCATGCACCCTTAATAATTTATAAATTATTATTGTATCTTATATTACACTGTCCGGCGTTTCCCTTCACCCACCCTTCTGCTGCCCGTCCCCCAGAGAGGAGGGTATATGTAGCTCCCTGTGATCCATTCCCCCTTTCTTCACCCCCTTTCCCTCCTGGTATCCCCACTGTCACCCCTGGTCCTGAGAGGTTCATCTGTCCTAGATTCCCTGCGTTTCTAATTCCCATCTGTACCGCTGTACATCATCTGATCTAACCAGGTCTGCAAGGCAATATTGGGGTCCTGGTAGTTGGGGGGAGGAAGTGTTTAAGAACCAGAGGAAGGTTGTGGGTTTCATTATTGCTATACTGTACCCTAAGTGAATCATCTCCCCACTACCCCTCTGGAAGGTATGGCCAATTGTCTAGAGATGGGCATTGGGTCTCCATCACGCGCCACCCTCATTGATGAGGATATGATTCCCCCTCCCCACCTTTGGTGTTTAAAGCCTGGTCCCTTTGGCCCTTCATGATCACACATGTTGGTGTGCTGCTTCCATGTGGGCTTTGTTACTTCTGGGCTAGATGGCCGCTTGTTTACTTTCAAGCCTTTAAGTCCCCAGACACTATAGGTCTCGATAGCCGGGCACCATCAGCCTTCTTCACCACACTTACTTATGCACACATTCGTCTTCAGCGTTTATGTGTGGAAGGTGGTCACACAATGATGGTTTTTGTTCTTTGGTGTCTGCTGCCTGTTTCCTTCAACACTTCGTGTTCGCACAGGCTCGTGTGCTTCTTCTCTGTGGACTTTGTTGTTTCCGAGCTAGATGGCCGCTTGTTTGCCTACAAGCCACACTGGTTTTATTTGTGCCTCAACGCTCCTCCACACTCTTAAACCCCCTCCTTCTATTTGCTCAAGCATGGAATCATTATATTGTTAATTACCTTAGTATGCTTCTCAAAGATGAGGGAAAAACTTAAACAGCTGAAACTTCATTAGCATATGGAAATTAATAATAATACCTTAATATAAAAAATATCAAATCAAATTTTTCTGATCATCTGGCTCTTTTATGGTTTCTTTAAATCAGAATCCAAGTAAGTTCTACATACTATAGTTCGTTGATCTGTCCCTTCAGTCTCTTGTAATCTATTGGTTCTCCTTTCCTTTCAGTTTCTGTTATTATCATTTATTTTTAGTAAGTTCTAAGTTATTTGTCTTTGAAGTTTCTTATATTTTGCTGATTATATATCTATAGAGGGTCAGCAAAAAAGAAGAAGACCCTCAACAAGATAGATTCACACAATGGCCGCAACAGTGGACTCAAACATAACATTTGTGAGGATGGCACAGGACCCGGCAGTGTTTCATTCTGTTGTATGTATTGTTGCTATGCGTCTGAACGGACTCAGTGGCACCTAATAACAACATGTTATGTGACGACGTTCTAGAGCTTTAAGTTAATTATGGTTATAAGGTGGGAAATTTAAATTTTATCATTCCTTGTACATAAAATAAAGAGGCTATGTCTATTAAAATAAACTTGCATCAACTGTTTGCTTATCCTTTAGTTCATATAGAGGAAGCAGCTTAGATGCTTGCTTCCTTACTCTGTTTACCAATTTCCAAATTAAAAACTGATTTACTAGCACCCTCCAAAGTATTGAAAGGGGATTTTGTAGTTGCTTTATCATAAATGCAAGGATTCATGCATAGTTGATGTTCTATTCCATTGTACTAATATTCTTTATTGATGCTTAAATTGTCCTGTTTGGGACCAGTAGGTAGTAGGGATCTCTTCGAGTTGTTTCCTATTTCTCTTTCTAAAAACATTAGTATTGCTTAATTACTTTCTTGGATTTGGGGTATTTCAAAATAGTCCAGGCTCATATTGTGCTTTTTTTTTTTTCCCCCCCAGATATGGAACCAGCATTACTTCTAGGTTTCAGGCAGCTTTTAGGGGAAATGGAACTTAAAGACATGATTTAAGTACTCAAGTTCTCAGTGTTAATAAATTGGTTATTCTTTTTTAGGTCTTTCTAGTATACAGAGGTAGAAAGTACTTTTAAAATTAAGATAAAAGCATCATTAGCTCATATTGATACTTCACAGTAAAATTCAACATAACAATGTATATATTTACATCATCTTTAAATTTCTGACATCTGTATCTCTTTTGTACAAAGTTGAATTCACCTCAGAAAGAGATACTCCCATCCCGAGTGAGGAAATACTGAAACCAGAGCCGAGATCTTCTGGATTAGTGCATTGGCTACTGGAGAATCAGAGGTTTGGAACTTTAAGGAAGCAGAAAAATATTGGAAAGATAACCACTTCAGGGAGAGAGAGAGGCATAATGTCAATGAAAAAGAAGGAAGCAAGGATTATACAGAAACACAAGAAAATAATAAAATCAAAACATACCAACATTTCCCATCCCATCCCAAACAAGTTCATCTATTAAAGAAATTATACCAGCAAAAATACTCGTGACTCAAGACCCCTGGCAAAACAGAATCATGTTTTTGCTGGTTCAGGAACATATAAGACATTTCAAAAGTTGAGGAAACAGCAGTCGATAATTGCTTTTTAAAAAAACATCTATATGAAAGAAAACAAAATGAGGATAAATACATTTCAACTACTGCAAATTCTGCTAAAACAATGACTAAGCAGAGAAACTTACACAACAGCCAACTTGAATGAAACAAGTATTGGCAGTTATGAAAATATGTCTTAAATTATAAATTTTAAAGGTCAGATCAGAGATGCATAATGGGAAGGAAAATATGAAAGAACCAAAACCAAAACTCACTGCTTTTGAGTTGAGTTTGACTCATAGCAACGCTATAGGACAGGGTAGAATAAGCCCTGTGAGTTTACGATCAATAAATCTTTATAGGAGTAGAGAGCTTTATCTTTCTCCCTTGGAGGAACATCATTTCAAACTGCTGACCTTGTAGTTAGCAGCCCACTAGGCTACCAGGGTTCCTTAGGTATTAAAGAACAGTTTCCTATACTTAAGGAAAAACTTCACAGGATGACAAAATAGCATCTCAGCTGGAAGCTGAATTTCAAGATGCTCAAAGATACAGTACATTTAAGAATATATAATAAGAAGTCTTGAGGGGAGGAATGAAACATCCAGGAGAATAAAAATAAATACTGGAAAAGATCAAAAAGAGAAATGAACTTTTAGACCATACTTGATAAAGAGCAAACTTATAATCATTATAGTCTCTGAAGAAGATAAAATAAGGAAACAGGGGAAGGGAAGAGGTGTTAACCAATCCAGGGACAAGGGAACAACAAGTGATTCAAAACCAGTGGCAAGGAGTAGGTGGGAAGACTGGTAGGGCAATGTAACCGAGAGGAATTACTGAAATCCAAATGAGGGTGAAGCATGGTAGTGGGACAAGAGGAAAGCAAAAGGAAATAGAGGAAAGAAGTAGGAGGCAAAGGGCATACATAGAGGCCTAAATACAGGCATGTACATATATAAATATATTTATATATGATGATGGGGGAAATAGATCAATGTGCATATATTTATAGGTTTAGTAGTAGGGTAGCAGATGGACATTGAACCTCCACTCACGTACTCCCTCAATACAAGAACACTTTGCTTGGCTAAACGGACATTCCATGATACCCACCTTCCCGCTGAAAACAAATGTGTGCTTAAGCAAATGTGGTGAAGAAAGCTGATGGTGCCGGGCTATCAAAAGACATACCGTCTGGGGTCTTAAAGGCTTGAAGATAAACAAGCAGGCATCTAGCTGAGAAGCAATAAAGCCCACATGGAAGAAGCACACCAGCCTGTGTGATCACGAAGTGTTGAGGGGATCAGGTAACAGACACCAAAGAACAAAAATCATCATTGTGCGCTCACCGTTCCCATACAAACACTGATGACAAATGAGTGCATAAATAAGTGTGGTGAAGAAGGCTGATGGTGCCTGGCTATCGAGAGATATAGCGTCTGGGGTCTTAAAAGCGTGAAGGTAAACAAGCGGCCATCTATCCCAGAAGCAACAAAGCCCACATGGAAGAAGCACAC